TGTCCCTTGTGGTCTTTTCGGGTGGGCCTTGGTCGCCTAGCGATAATTATTACTCTGGAGATCTTATTGTTAGGTGGATCGTGGCAGTTGGATCTGAACACTAGCCAAGATTATCATCATCTACCAGAGGTCGGCATCGATGCATAACGGACAGATTTCTGCGCAGAATTGATATTGCCTCTTTCCGCTTTCTGGGTGTTAATTGCCTCTGTTCCAGCTTACGTATTATTTTGACCAAGCCCTCCGGTTGACCCCGCTACGAACACCTTTCACACACCGGTCCAACACACTGAGCGCTGGTTAACTGGAATTCCCTCGGATCAAGCAGTGAGTTCATGAACATCTGCGGTGGTGTCAATTGGTGCTTATACTCCACAAGGTATTTTTTAGCTGTCGAAGAATTGTACGATCAACACATGGTTCTTTTCGGGAACGTCTCCGACTGAACCGGATTTCATCCTTCAACATCATCTATTGCTCCATAGGAAATTTATAATCTGGGAATCTGGTGCCTGCCTTTTCCAAAGGCGGAGGGAAATAATCTATAATGCTACCTGTTTCACGACCTGAGGGCCATATGAACCTCAACTATATTCCCACCACTCAACCGATGTCTGGGACATCTACGGGACGCAGCTCTCCGAGCGATTTGTCCGCTGCCGCCGCTGTCAAGTCACCTTTTGGACCAAGCGGCTTAAATGGCGCCGCAGGGTCAATCGGAAATGCGAGGCTAGGGGCTGGATCCCCTTCCCATGACCTTGGAGCTCGCCTATACTCGAAAAGGTTGGTAGCATACCCCTGTTGATATCGCTTTCTTGGAATAGTGCCATTGACTCGCTCCTTTCGCTTTACTAGAGCACGAGAGATCCAGGCGGAGGAAGGCGTCTCCCCAAGTATCTGGGGTCCCCCTACCAGTGGCCATTCTACCCCGCTTCGCGAAAACATCCCCGAGTCCCCGAGCCAAGAGGGTTTCCCTGACCTAGTGCCCACTTCAAGTGGTTCAATCAATAGCCCTGCACGGAGAGCTAGAGCCGGCACTGTGCCATCAAGATTTTCACCCGTCGGTGCGCTGAATGAGGCAAGCCTTCAACAATCTTTTATGTCTCAAACTTCTCGGCCCACGCCGTCGACTAGCCCCTTTCGCCCCTCTGGAGTTTCTGGTATAGATACAGGTGCAACTGCTGCTCCTGTTGCTCCTGCTAGGGGCACAGGTTCTCTGTCGCGTCTCCGAGCTGGTTCGATGCCACAGAGGGCAAACTTCCTCGGGCCGTCTAGCCCATTTGGACCATCCTTGTTCTCTACTAGTTGGGCTACGGGGCGCGACCGGGCGACCACCCTCACGAGTATCCGATCCTCTGAGGGGCCCACTTCTCCTAGCCATTCGTCCTTTTCGAGAGATGGACTCACGGACACCGATGTCAAGACCCTGGACTACCTGGGTCTAGCTGAAACCCCGCAGCAAGCACGAGCCAGTCTTGTGCGACCCTCGGTGGATATGCTCATTCAACAGCAGCAACAACAGCAACATCAACAGCAGCAAGCGTCTACTCTGCCACCGCTGCTGGCGGAATTAGCTATGATGAAAAACAACAATAGGTTTCGGTCATATTCTGTAAACGCTAAGGAAAAGTACGCAGACGATGAAGACCTTGAGTACGAGAGCCGTTACTCGCAGGTTCCTTCAGGTACTGTTACACCTTCAGCCGCAGCAACTGCTGCCCAACTGGCTGCTACCCAGGCTCAGATCCATCAACACAATTTGGCTGTCCAGGCATTTGCTAACCACGCTTCTGTCAACCGGCCGCGGGCCAGGACTGCTGGAATTCTCGAGGCCCCTCCTCAGCGGTCCTCGATTCGCAACTATCTAGCCACTCCTTCGCGCCTCGAGAACAGTTTTAGCGCCGCAGATTTGAATATTGCGGAGAGTGGAGAGTATGATGAATTGTCGGAGGCTGTGCAGATGATGCATCTGGGCGGAAGTGGCGCGCCTAATCTGGGCATGCGACAAGGTGATTTGGTTGATGAGAATAACCAGGATGGCCCGACTCGTGCCTTATGGATTGGCAGCATTCCGGTTTCTACTACAATCACTTCTTTGGCAGCCATCTTTAGCAGATACGGCAAAATCGAATCCACCCGGGTGCTGACGCACAAGAACTGTGGGTTCGTCAATTTTGAGCGTGTGGAAAGCGCTGTTCAGGCCAAATCGATCCTCAATGGCACGGAGATTTTCCCTGGCGCAGGCCCAGTCCGAATTGGATATGCCAAAGTTCCTGGCACCTCTGCGTCCGGGACTCCTGGGGTTAACGGCATCCAGTCTTCTCCCACCCCTGATCCCAACGCTAGGTCGACCGCCGCTGATGGTGTGGAAAGCTCTGATTCCGTGACTGCTGTTCCGCAGATACCTCCCCTTCCTGAGCTCCAGCCAGAGATGGTGCAGATTGTCAAGGAATTTGGTGCTAGTGACGAAGACATGCTTAATATAACTGCAAGTATCCAGCAGGCCATCGCTTATCAGGCATTTGAAGACGAGATCCCTCCCATCCCTGAGCCTAGTCAGACCAGGATGTTTGATGCTCCGCGCCTTCGCGATATTCGCAAGAGAATTGATAACGGTGCATGCTCGGTCCAGGAAATCGAAGAGACTGCGATCTCGATGCTACCGGAGATTGCAGAGCTTTCCTCTGACTACCTGGGCAACACCGTAGTGCAAAAGCTTTTTGAGTTCTGCTCTGAACCGATCAAAGAGCAAATGCTTGTTCAAATCGCACCACACCTCGCTGAGATTGGTGTTCATAAGAATGGTACCTGGGCTGCGCAGAAAATCATTGACGTCGCTCAGAGTCCAGATCAGAAGAAGATGATTGTGGATGCACTCCGCCCCTACACCGTCCCACTTTTCCTTGATCAGTACGGAAACTACGTTTTACAATGTTGTCTTCGCTTTGGCGCCTCGTTCAATGACTTCATTTTTGAGACTATGCTGAGCCGTATGTGGGAGGTCGCCCAAGGACGGTTCGGAGCTCGCGCGATGAGAGCCTGCCTTGAAAGTCACCACGCCACCAAGGATCAGCAGCGCATGCTTGCGGCCGCAATCTCTCTTCACAGCGTGCAGCTCGCGACAAATGCTAACGGTGCGCTTTTGCTCACATGGTTCCTCGACACCTGCACTTTCCCTCGCCGGCGAACTGTGCTTGCCCCAAGACTTGTGCCGCATTTGGTGCATCTCTGCACCCATAAAGTTGCCTATTTAACGGTTCTAAAGGTTATTAACCAACGCAACGAGCCCGATGCCCGTGAAATAGTGTTGAAGGCACTTTTCTTCAGCCCTGGTGATGAAGTCTTAGAGAAGATACTGAGCGATCAAACATCAGGGGCAACCTTGATTTTCAAGGTTCTGACCACGCCATTTTTCGATGAATCCATGCGTGCAGAGGTTGTGAAGAACGTGTCGAAAGTTCTCACCAAGCTAAAGGCCACACCAAGCCAAGGCTATAAGCGACTGATGGATGAGGTCGGCCTTTCATCTCGTGGCGGTGCCCGGGATAACCATCATGGACGGGATAACTCAGAGAAACAACAGCAGCGTCCCGCCTCTCGGCCTGCACCTTCGAATTATCCTTCTCAGTCATCCGTGGACAGGCAGTACAATGGGCAGTTCGTTCCCGCTATGCTTTCTCAAAACTTAGAGAATGCCCGGGCCGATCAGCAGTCGAGTGTTGCGTCTTTTGACCCTTATGCTATCAGTGGGGTGAATGGTCTGGGCTCGGCAGGTACTATCAATTCGTTGAATGGTGCGTCAGGAATGAACGGCTCTGGCTTCGGTCAAGATCCTTTGTTGCCACTTCAACAGGCGCAATACCAGGCTTATTTGGCTGCGCAATCTCGCGGCGTCTCACCTGGTGGAATTTATCCGAACCTGGGTAACGCTAATTTTGGATATCCGGGCGGATCTCCCTCAGTGGACAGCCTTCGAGGCATGCAGGCTCAGGCTACCCCCTTGTCTGGAGCTACGCAGATGAGCCCTCCCGGCTCCATGCTTAATCAGTCCGGATTTGGCCCCCAGCAGTTTAGCCCTGTTATGAACACGGCTCAGATGTATCAGTATCCTCCTCAATTTAATTTCCAGCAACCTGCCCAAGGACAGTCCACTGGGGGACGACGTGGACGTGTAAGTGGTTCCTATTCTATATGTGAGCAGCGGCTGCCTCGTACAGAAGCTAACATCATCTTTTATTAGCGCTGAGGTTCGCATATGACCTTTTAATCCAACTTTGTTTCAACTTTATGTATAAAGTTAACATTTTTTTCATTCCACTTTTTGCTACTTTTCCGGATACGGAGTAGTATGGTTATATGTATGAAATGACCCTTATCTCACCTAGACTGACGCTGGATCGTCTTGGAAGAGGGGGAAAGGAGAGACGACAGAGGGAAAAGTGTTGTTGGTTTTTATTTCCATTTTTATTCTCGTTCTTATCTCATCTTTAAAGAGCATGGTGGTGTCACATTTGTCAATATAGCATCAAGTGGTGCGAACCACCGAGTTTCAAGCCGTGTTTCTTCAACCTGAGTTGTGTTGGATACAAGGAGAGTTGTCGTTGTTCTTGTTGTTTCTGTTGTTGGTTTTCTATCACTCAAAGTCCTGTATTTCTTGTGGTCTCAATCTTGCAGTGGGTTTAGACTGCTGGTGACGTGACGAATTTCCTTGATAGTCTCGATATGAAGCTTTTGTGAATGTTTGACCAGCGCTGTCTGTATCTCGTTAGGAATCCATATTATCTAAAATAGACAACATGATCATATTTTATTTCCCATGGTTGTAGTTTAATACGCGTTTAGCCTTCTATCTTAGCCTTGGGGAACATATATATATTAAGGGTTGGAGAATTGCCTGTCAGGCGTTTTCCGGGGACGATCCGTGCAAATCCCCATCCCCATCGCTACTTCTTCGATATTCCTCAAGAACAGTGGCATTGCGAAGCCACAAGCAATCAACAATGACTCGATCCTCAATTCTCTATCAAAACTCTCAGAACACAGTCTTTCTTCTTGACATTCCCACGTCTATTGCTCTCGCTCAGGATTTTTCACCAGTCCAACAGGAGTCACCATCAGACTCTTCAGAGCTAATCTCGAGCACACAGGTCTGTCTAAGGCATGTCTTATCTTCAACACCCCTAAAAGTCCCTTACCCTGGATCTACAGAGCCTAAAACGGATGCCGCGAGGGCAAAAGTCCTACAAAGGATTCCTGTTTCGGAGCGAGAAATCCACGATGCTATTGCGCCTTTGGTGAGAGAGGCGCTGCATGAAATTCGGCTGAGTCTTGGGGGTGATGAGTGGTGTTTTGAAAGAAGGACCTTAGCACCTGACTCTGGACGGAATTGTACTGCTCATTGCCGCGAAGGAAATGTGTCTCTAGGAAAAAGAAGCCGAAAAGGTCTAGAGTCCAGTGGGAATGATGACTGCCGGTTCCCAGTCGAGGACTACACGGATTCAACCGTTCCTGGAAAGTCGACCAAGCTACGGGGCGTGCCTCAGAACCCAGACCTGGTCAATCCGCCTTTGGTCCTCTCGCCTGGGTTGAATTTGTTCGACTCCATGTCGGGTCTTTGCAATCTTGTCGTCAGAAATACGTCCTCTGACCATGCAACTGTGAGAGCTGGTTGCGTATTGGGAAGGCACGGCAACTCAACTGAGACCAACTGCGCGCAACACTATAACCATACGTACTATATACCACCACTATCGAGCTTCTTACTTTGCAAACTACCTATATCACAGTCTGCCACGAAGCCCAACAGATTCATAGACCCTATACCAGGTCTCTCTCGAGACCGGAAATTCGATCTAATCCTCCTTGATCCGCCATGGGTGAATAGATCTGTTCGACGCAGCGGACATTACCATACACAGCACTACCTCGAGGGTGATCTACTGACGCAGTGTATTCGAGATATCCTCAGGGTGCACTTACAAGACAGTCATTGCACCTTCCGTTGCGGCACTTCTGATGATCGTATATCGACCCCAAAGCCTCCCGAGCCACAGACCCAAAGCTCTATAGCAGCCATATGGATTACCAACTCTGCAAAAGCGCGGAGAACAGCCTATGATGCTATCCAAGGCGCAGGTCTTTCCGTCTGCGAGGAATGGATTTGGATCAAAGCCACGGCAAACGGGGATCCTATCACACCGATAGATGGTCTCTGGCGGAAACCTTATGAAGTTCTGGTCATAGGAAGGATGAACAGTCCCCAACTGCCGGCTGTTTCATCGGAGAAAAGTGGTGGCGGTGTCGTCACTAGGAGGTTCATCGCTGCTGTTCCAGATGTGCATTCCCGGAAGCCGAACTTAAAGGAGATTTTTGAGAAAGTTTTCTTTGACGATGCTTCTCCTTCTCCTAAGTCGGAAGATCGCACAACTTATTCCGCCTTAGAGGTATTCGCACGCAATTTGACTGCCGGATGGTGGGCATGTGGAGATGAAGCTCTGAAGTTCAACTCGGAGGAATGGTGGGTTCATGATAAAGATACGAGCTTGAGTTGATCTGAATTGGTTTATGATGTATGTTTAGATACCAAAGTCCCTTTCTTGGCATCTCTGTTATACATAGGATAATCATAGAGTCGTGAATGATTTCTATCGTTATATACGTTGATACTACATCCACCGTAGATACCTGGCCATTGGCTTCACCTGAGCCACTCTAGTCTGGGCAAACCCAGCATATGTAAACTCCCAAACACCTATTCGAATATGTATACACAAACGAAAAGATACATTAGCATGCCCCTTAATCAAAAACAGGCCCCAAGCTGACCAAACTGAACCTCAAGTCCGGGTTACCACCCTGAGCCTCAGTCTTCAAGAACCTCCTAACTCCCAAGTTAAGAGCCTTCTCGCTCAATGCATCTTCATTCTCATCCAACTTCCCCCTTTCCAACGGGCCCTTCCTCCTCCCGTCTAGCTCCCACAACCTTCCATCAACTCCCTTCACAAATGCCACAAAGTGCAAGTCAACGGAATCCTCTGCCTGGGGGGCCGTAGTATCGCCCAACTTCGCTGCATCAGCATGAGCACTCTCCAGTGCCTTGCTCTCATACAACAGATTCGCTCTGTCAATAGGACAAAGGGGCTCTGCATCCCGCAGAAGACCATCCAAATCTGATCCAGGGAGAACCTGTTTCCGAGCCTCTCCATTGGACACAGCGTGCAGCAATCCGATCAAACCGCAGGCGTTCCGGATCGTCTGTTTAAACCACATGACCGGTTCCGAGGGCCCCGAGCCAGTATAGTCGGTGAGTTTGCTATCTTCGGATACGCGGGATGATTCGTAGGTTTTGGAGACGGGGAAGACGAGGAGGAGGGCGTGCGAGGGACGGGGAACGAAGGCTAGGAGGTCTGGCTCGTCAATTGAGTATACGTCTGTGAAGCCTAGGGTCGGTGGGAGACCGAGCTGGTGGACTAAGTGCGACATCACTTCTGGGTTGTTTTCTGTGTCCATTAGGTCAGTTGGTGTCTTCTTGCCTTCTTCTGCTGGCTTGGAGTGGGGTATTATATACCGAGGGGCACGAAGGCCTTGTTGGCTTCTGGGACATCTACATGGTCTGTCATCTTGCTTATTGGCTCTTTCCTTGAATATAATAACACGGGGTTTTTGATGTGAAATGGTACGAAATGGTAGGTTCTGAGGTCAAAGTGGAGAGACGGAGTTGGTAAAATGTTGTCAGTGAGGGGTTGGAGTTGATCTGCGGGGTCGCAGTTAAGTTTATTTATATTCTAATTAAATCGGGGTTTCCGCCTTCCAGTCAATGACATGACATGTGACGGCCTTAAAGGTTTACGGTAGTTTGGCCCTGTCAATATATTGATTATAGGGGCCTGCCATTTAGATTCATGTTAATATATTTATTTCGCAGAGAATTCATGCAGATGATTTCATGGGAATATGTTTGTCATAAGTTCATGTCATTCATAACCATGTCTATGGCCTTCCTGTCTATAGCTAAACACAGTTCTAGTTCTGCAATGGCTTCACTCCCCGTTTCAACGGCTCATAAATATCGGTCCACAGCTCACTGGCTTCTCCAAGGAAATACGACAAGCTGACATCGGCCATACTCGCTTCCTCGTCGCCAGAGATGGTCTCCAACTGAGAAATAAGGTTCTCCAACCCAAAAGCTTTGCCCGTAGCCTGCGTAGCGCCAGCTTCCAGCATGACATTAACAATGTGAACGTGGAAGTGATAATATGTCGGTTGGTCTGATGACTGTCAGTTATTGCCCCCTCAGCATACCTACATGATACCACTTACAGTGCACATAAAGCTTGAGCTGATCTTGATCCAAATCCGGATACATATTCACTGTACCCTCTAGCAACCGTTGACGCAAATACTTCAACCAAGGGATATGTTTCTTCTTCAAATCTCGTAAGCTCCAGATATCCCTCCGTTGCACAAGAGCCAGCAGATGCAACGAGCCTATCGTTTTCCGATCCCAGTTAAGATCAGGAAGCATCAGGAACCCATCCTCGGGACCGTGACCCTGGTCCCGAAGAATAACATCTTCCTGTTCCGTTCGGCCCTCAAGGATGTTAAATACCCATTTCAACCGGCCCTCCTCCCGCTTGGCACTCATATACGGCCGGATATAGTCCCGGTAAATCTCAGGTGTTTCGGTCACCATGCGCAGAACCTGATCGGAGTACTTCTTGATATGCTGCTCGGTGCACGGCCAGATGAGGTTCAGTTTGAGGTCGGCAGATTGGTGGCCCTCACTGTCCACACCTGACGATGCCAGGTACCAGCGGTAGATGTCATTATCACCCAGGTTGTTTACGCGGGTAATTGCTGAGTGGAACGCTTTCAATACCTCGAGGGATTCGGTAGCGAAGGCGGCTCGCTCGGCTATGAGAATGCCTTGTTTTCCTTCGATTGTTCCCAGGAGAGCGATGCGGCGGCCACTTTGATCTAAGTATAGCTTTCTTAGTTACTAAGGTATTGACGATAGCGGGTTGGGTGAAGGGCCACTTGTAATAATTCAGGGAGTCCGAACCTTGCCTGAGCAACCTGCTGATCTCAAACTTCGAGATCAGTGCTTCGGGTGCCACTTTCGTGTCGTTGCCGGCTTGCATGATTGTGTGGGGTATCAAAAAGTTGAAGGTTGATCTTGCTTAAATTTACCCCGTATCTTTAATACGTGCCCGGCAGAATAGTTGGGCGGTCAATACTTATCAAGGTGTTATCAATACTGTGATCGATCTATGTAACGGTGGGAAGCTATATAGGTGCAACTTAGAGCATCTGAATCGTAGATTCAGATTTATGTGGTCTTTTGGTCTTGTGGAATATAGGGCCCTGGCTATATCCCTTACAGTATATAGCTCTTCACCAGAAGGGCGAATAGTCAATGATTCAACCGGGTAATGCAAGCTTCGATCTTGGAAAGTATAGGTATATGATATGTCTATATGCTAAAGTAGTATAGTCTCTCTGTACACTGTATGTAGCTCCCGGACAGCACGTCATAATAAAATGATGCTGCGCACGCTAGAGCAAGCAAAGCAAGGAACCGAGCCGCCAATAAGTGCTTCTATACGTAGAAATTGGATGGAGGCATATATCTTTAGCCGGATTGAAATCCTCATGGCGGTCATAAGCAGGATCGCGGTTGTTTCACCATTGATAGATGCTCATGCGTCAAGCACCATTCACCATAGATCACCATGGTGATATGAGGATGTCAATGTGCGGCCGTATCTTGTCAGGCGCCGCTGCAATTTCCCTAAGGAGGTGTATCCTGTAAAGACCCGAGTCGTGTTTAACAGGGAAGTGTCTATATACCAAAATGGTTTCGTCGCGTAGGATGTCCACAGATAAGCCAGGGCCGAGTTCATGAAGATTTCTTTTCGTCACTAGGCTGGCAATGCATCTACTCGTGATCAGTCCTCGAACATACAAAAGCACAAAATTGAAAAGAGAAAGGGGGGAAGAATGGTTTGACTCACCACTTCAGCCAGTTTCAGCCACTCTTCAACTCCCTTGACGAAGGAGTCGTCCGCCGCAGGGGTCAGCTCGTGACCCCACACCACATATTCATTGAAAGTAGCTTGTTTTTCCAGGATCTTGACTGGCTCTTCCTGTTCCGTTTCCTCGCTGATCGTAGAGTTTGCGTTGCGTTGGGTCGATGGCATCACACGCTCTGTTGGGAGCGCAATAATCCCTGAGTTGGATTGTTAGTCTGTAGGGTTTACAACAGGCATATATAGTTACTCACCTTCGTAACCTTCTGGAATCGCAACACGTCGGCCTCGCAACTTACGGCCGCGGAAGTAGGCAGTTTGTAGGTTTGTATCTGCGTCAATCAGTATTTTGGAACCCGAAGGCTAATTGGCGCGCTGACCATTTTCATCAGATTCAGACTTCCAGTAGCGTCCCAGGGGTCCAACGGGACCATCATAATGAATTCGACAAGGAAGAATATTGGGGGTAACGTTCTTCGGCAAATTCGCGTCTTCTGATCCTGAGGACTGTTGCTGAGGTTGGATAGCGAACATGTTGCGTTTGGATCTTAATTTCAATTGACTAGTGCAAACAAGAAGTAATTGAGCCGAATGCAAGGAAGTTAGCTGGTTTGTTAATAATCTAGGATGTTGCTCTATGAGCTGGATGATGATGGATGGGAATAAACTGGCGCACGCGTCGCGTTCTCCGCGTAAAGTGATTTAAAATGCCGTTGGGAGCGGAAATTTCCGACCCCAGAGCATCGACGGATCGACAGTATAAATGAGCATTATAGTCTCTCAGATCTCAACCTCAGACAAAATACGTCGATAAACGTCAAGGACCAATTATCTGTATTAAAAGCGTTCCAATTCTATATGCTTGCTCGAGATACAGTATGCAACCAGGGAATCTATGATCAAAGTAGTCGGATTGGATGATATCAAACGCCATAGAATTTGGGTATATTAGACAAGCTTGTATTTAACTTAATCACCTCTTGCGCGTCTTCTTCTTCTTCTTTTTCTTCTTCTTCTGGTCATCTCCATTCTCCTTCTCAACCACTACCCGTACCGGCCATTTCTTCAGGTGTTCCTTCTCGAATTCATCCTTATCTCGCCGATATAAAAGCATTGTAGCCTTAGCATCCTCCACACTAGAATGAGCGCCGCTCTGAATATCCAGACCTAGAAATTCTGAAGCCAACATTTTCAAGCGGGGAGAACCACCTCCGGCAATCTTTCGATATGGTGGGTGCTTGCTAGTGTCTCTAATGTCGCGCTTGGGATGGCTTAGAAGAAGTGCATCCAGATCGTTCCGCAAGGCATGCCCAACGAGTGTTCGCCCATCCATGATCTCTGCAACATCTTTTTGAACTTGTTCAAGGGACCGGGCTTCCATCATATGCTTCGGTAATATGCCGCTCACATGTGTTCGCCAATCCGTGACCATTTCTTTCGGTCGTACAAAAGAGTCATATACTTGTTCGCCGTTGAAGTTGACAATACTGACACGTGCAAGAGCCGAGTCGTTGTCGGGGTTAGGGCCGACTCCCACCATCTCGCAGTCCATCGCAACATATTTACCTAGTTCCGCACTAGCACCGGATTAGCAAAGGTTTGAACCAAAACATATGGCAGAGAGACAGCAGAGATACTAACGTCGGTGACCGGCCCTCATTGACCTTCGCAATCTTCATTTCGGGTCGCGGCGCAATCGAGGCAGTAGAATTCTTCCGGGAGATAGTTTTCACGGCGGTTTCCTGAACGCCATCCTTGTCTCCATCAACAGCGCTGTCAGTCATTCTCTTCCTCCTTTTCGGTACACGAGATTGTTCAAGTTTGGTTTTCCCTTCGACTGTCTCCGTTTTTCGCTTCTTTACCACACCATTTTGGCCTTCCCGCTCCGATGTCTTGCGTTTTGTAGAGCTGGAGACGGGATTCTTTTTCAGCGTCTCCTGGAGTTTCTTCCAATTGCTGGAAAGGGTTTTCACGTCCATTCCAATGGTCAGATGGATCTTATTGCATTGTGCTCTGGTTCTGGATACGCGATGCGAGGAGACAAGAAAGATATTTGATGCGGAGGAGCAGCTTTCCAGAATCGACGATAAATCCGATCAATTGCGCTAAAGTTAAATTTTCGGATGGCCCACTCACGAGTCTCGAACACTTCCGGTCCTCTTTTTTTTTTGTTTTTTTTTTTTTTTATAGCTGGCCATAACTTCCTTACATGTACTGAGCTTATCGGCATTGATTTACTCCCTTATAACGTGGAATATATGGGGTATAGACTATATTGTAGTAACCGCACAAAAGCTTTAGTTTATACAATCTATAAGCACCCTTTTAATGCCCGATGCGGGGTATTGGAAAGCAAAATAACTTTTTATATCTAGCAACGCCTCATTATACAATAGAAGTCTATGTGAAAAGAAATCAATATGGAAACGAAAAGGGAATCTATTTACAGGCCTGGAACCTTGAAATCCTTGTGACCCCATTTCTCCGTCAGCTTTCTCTTTGCCTTCTTGGGTTGTGAAACAGGCTTTCGAGATTCTAACTTTCCTTGAACGATTAACGTCCGGAATCGGTCGTCGAGCAGATTTCCCTCTGGCTTAAGCAAGCGCAGTGAGTCCTGCAGCTCATCTGGTAGAACAACCTCCAGTTTTTGCTCGGGGGCACTGGTGTGAGGTCAGTAAATGAATAAGGTATAGGTAGGACTGGGGAAACATACTATGTCCTTCCACCCAAAGGCTTTCGCCGCAAAACTGTATCATCACCTTCTCCCTCAGATTCGGAAGACCCAGCGCGTTCAAGCTCTTGCTGCTTCATTTTCTCAGCAATAGCTCTTGCCTGCTCAACCTGCTCTTCCTTCTTCTTCATCTGTGCCTCCCATTTTGCTTGCCTCTCAGCCTCCTTACGTCGCTTAATCTTGTTTCTTTGTGCTTTCGTCTTTCTCTCTGGACGTTTCTTCTTCAGCCAATCCGGAGTCTCGTACTCGCTCTCGAAACCTTCCCAGGCACTTTCATCGTCCGACCTCACCTCACCATCGTCATCCTTGGCCTCGGCAATCATACGCTGTCTTTCTTCTTCTTTACGCTCCTCCTCCAGGCGCTTTTTCTCTGCCTCTACCTCCTTGGCTCCTTGTTCCTGTAGAAGACCATCCCAGTCCTCAAAGGTTGGATTATAACTTGTGCCAGCGTTCGGCGTGCGGACAGCAGGAATCGCTTTTCCATTTGCGGCAAGTGAAATCGGGGCTTCCTTTAGCGTTACAGGTGCAACCTTCGGCTTCGGTTTCTCCAAGAAATCAAATTGCGGATCCTCCACAGGCGTTGGATCTTCAGCATCAGCCCAGGGATCATAGAAGTCACCTCCTACGTCCTTTTTGATGGGTTTGCCTTCTTTAGCGACTTGTTTTAAGCGCAGCCAATCCTTGCGGGTAACCCAGTCGCTCTTGTGTTTCTTAGTTTTCGGTTCGAGAACGCCATCTGTCACCTTCGAGTTGTTACGTTTGCGAGTGTCTACCGCTGGGATGACCGACCGCTGGGCAATAATTTCTTCCGATTTCAGCGGCTTGTGCTTTTTCTCGAATGCTTTGCGAATTTCTGTTGAACCAGTGGTATCGAAGGTGAACAGCTCTTCAGAAGGCTTCTCTGCCAGGACACCGCTGTAATATTAAATCAGCTTTTGAAGCATCGAGAGAAAGACAGTATGGTCATATTTACCCTTTGATCTCCTCATCTTTCAACAACCGGAGACCTTCTTGGACCTCCGTCACATCCACATTCTTTCGCCACGCCTTTTTACCCTTACGAGAAGGTTGGCTGAATTGCCTGGGAGCATCTGTGGAAGGAGACATTTTGTAGACCTTGCCAACTAGATTGCAATATCGAATTGTAAAGTGGGAAGTCTTTTCCTTTTTCCTTTAGCGCTAGTAGATAATCTGAATTATTTGCGGCCAAAAATCTGGACCCGCTTACCTAATACCGTATCGCGGGACGATTAGTTACATTACATGCTAGTGCGTCTGCCGCGCTAAAGCTCTTCGCGGCTATCGCGGGCAAGTTGAAGACTGAACTTCTCAGCGACGTGCTTTTCGCCCGCGTCGGGTTATCATCTGCACTGACTTCTCTAGCCACTAGCCCTGGGGGCTCCGTTCAAGTCTCTATTTAGAATCTCGCATACGATACTATAATTCGATTGGTCTGAAGACGGCTGCTGAATCTTAACAACCATGCCGGTGGTCAAAGGAGGTGTCTGGTAAGAGCTATTGCGACTTGCAATATTCCTATTGATCAAAGGCTTACATGTATTTAGGACGAATATCGAAGATGAGGTGCTTCGGGCGGCGGTAAGTTAACATGCGCGCTAGATGAATATAAAGAAGCTTGTGGTGTGATCGGACGGTCACTAATAGATGGCATCTTACAGGTGTCCAAGTATGGTCTCAACCAGTGGGCGCGAGTATCTTCACTGCTAGCCAGAAAAACACCTAAGCAATGCAAGGCTCGATGGGTGGAATGGCTGGATCCCGGCATCCGGAAGGTCGAGTGGTCGAGGGAGGAGGATGAGAAGCTACTGCATTTGGCCAAGTTGATGCCCACTCAGTGGCGTACGATTGCACCGATTGTTGGACGTACGGCCACTCAATGTCTCGAGCGCTACCAGAAATTGTTGGATGAGGCGGAAGCTCGTGAAAACGACGAGTTTGGTCTAGGAGGTCCTGAGGGTGGGGAGACCGCTGCGCCAAGTGCGGACGATGTGAGACGGTTACGGTATGCTAATCTGTACTTATGCTATGAATTTCTTTTCGCTAACTTGAACTAGGCCTGGCGAATTAGATCCCGACCCTGAATCGAAGCCCGCTCGCCCGGATACAATTGACCTTGACGAAGACGAAAAGGAGATGCTGAGTGAAGCTCGAGCTCGTTTGGCGAATACACAAGGAAAGAAAGCAAAGAGAAAAGCTAGGGAACGACAGCTGGAAGAATCTCGGAGACTTGCTGTGCTTCAGAAGCGTCGTGAACTCAAAAATGCTGGTATCAACATCAAGGTTGTTACTCGAAAGAAGGGTGAGATGGATTACAATGCCGATATCCCGTTCGAAAAGCCGGCAGCCCCTGGTTTCTACGATACTATGGAGGAAGAAGCGAGGAATGAGAGACAGCGCGAAATGTTCGACCCCCGTAAGCAACAGCTTGCCAACAAGCGCAAAGGAGACCAAGACGAGGAGGCGGAGCGCAAGAAGAGGAAAAATGATAAGAACGGCAATTCTGCAGCTTCTGCAGCAGCAGCAAGAGCTGGGCAAATGCAGAAGATCCGCGAGGCGGAGCAGAGTAGCAAAAGAAGAGCTCTTGTCCTACCAAGCCCCCAGGTTAGCGAAAGTGAAATGGAGGATATCATCAAGATGGGTATGGCAGGTGATAAGGCTAGCAAAATGGCTGGAGATGAAGAAATGACAAGAGGATTGCTTGGAAATTATTCGGCAATCGTTGGCGGAACACCGATCAGGACTCCTCGCGCTGCGCCGGAGGAAGATCATATCGCCAATGAGATTAAGAACATCAGAGCCCTTACTGAAACCCAATCGTCATTGCTGGGAGGAGAGAACACACCTTTGCACGAGGGAGGATCTTCTACCGGCTTTGATGGTATTGCACCGCGGCGCCAGGAGATTGTCACCCCGAACCCTATGGCCACGCCTTTCCGACAGGCCAATGGTGGTGTCGGTGCGACACCTATGCGTGGAGGTGTTGGTCCGGGGGCGACTCCTCTACGGACCCCCCGTGACCATTTCTCCCTGAATCAGATGGAAGGCGGCCAACTTGTTGGGAGCACTCCGAAGGAGATCAGGATGCACGAGAATTTTATGCGTCAAAGCATTCGCAGCAAGCTTTCCGCGCTGCCAAAACCAAAAGAAACTGAATGGGAACTGGAAGAACTTCCTTCAGAGTCTGCAGAGCCAACTGTTAGTGAGGAATATAGGGAAGAGGATATGGCGGAGCGTGACAGGAGGGAAAGAGAGGCGCGAGAAAAGGAAGCACAGGCTGAATTAAAGCGTCAATCACAAGTCTATCAGCGATCACTGCCCCGTCCGAGCGTTCTAGATATAGATGCGCTGGTCGGACGTGCGTCGCAAGTGACGGATCCGATTGTCGGTATGATCTCCAAGGAGGCTGCTTTGCTCATTGCCCACGATGCTAGAAAATTCCCCGTACCCGGTGCTAAGGTAGAGGGCAAAGCACGGAAGGTGGAACGATTTGACGACACGTTGATGGAAGCAGCTCGCAGGGCTATTGTCACTGAAGCCACTTCCGATGAAAAGAAACCGGAGTGGACAGAGGACTTCGATGCACAGTGGACAACTACACACTCGAAGACTCTTCCAGGTCTTTCCAATTATGCCGACGACGAAGAGGACGAGTACCAACAAGAGCAACGCATGATTAGTGTTTTTGATAATGTGCAAGCCTCTCTGCTTGCCACAGCCGAGAGAGGAAACAAACTTGAGAAGAAACTTGCGCTACATTACGGTGGGTATCAAAACCGGGCGAAGATGCTACGGACTAAGATACTTGAAGCCAGCGCTGCCTTGGAGAAGTCAAAGGATGAGCTAGATGCATTCCGTAACCTGCAGATTTCTGAGGAGGCAGCCATTTCTACGAGGCTAGAGAAGCTGCGGGACGACGTGGCCTTTGTCATGAGAAGAGAACGTGAAGCTCAAGAAGTATACCGGACCCGAAAAGAGGAGCTTGGTGAACTCGTTGCAGGGACCGGGGGGATGGTTAACGGATGGCATTGATGCCAAAGCTGTGAGGTTAGTGCTTGAATTTTGTACTCCAAAATGTAATCCAATTATGCCTTCTTCCACATTTGCTGCAAGTCTTCATACATGGCGTGTCTATCGGATTTAACTGGAAGTTTTCTCATTCTGTCTCTTTATGCGGTGGCTCTATTGTTGGCTCAAGCCTATTTTATTTTAAGGGGATACTCAACACAAACTGAATGAAATGTAGAAGCATCATTTGCATGCTCAACCAGAAAAAGAACCACAGTATAACTGACTGTCACTGTCAATATCGGGTTGTAAGGGCTACTAAAAACGGATGATTAGATGACCACAGATTGGGAACCTCAGGCAAACAGCCTCAAAGGCGGTCTCTTCCGAGCATCGCAACGGACAATCCTCCATCCCCTCCAGTATCGTCTCCCTCCGTCTGCATCGCGTATTCCCTCCACTATTGTATCTCCATCTATAGAAACCCGCTAGACCGATCGAGTATCACTCCCCTGGCACGATGGGTGTCAGAGATTCCCATGGGGAGGCAACCGCGACGCCGGACCCCGTTGAGAAGGGGTTTGCCACCCTCAATACCATTCGGTATGTCGCTGAATATACCCTGAGAAATTATTCATAGTGTCCTTGATGTCTATTTTATCGGTCGCATCCACTAATCAGAACGATAGAATCGGTGTTAAGGCTATGGTTCAGAAGGTTAGTTGCTATTCAATCCCTTCAATTTTATATGATCACGTGATTGATATCATACATCAAACTATAAACTGACATAGCTTGGTAGGATGGAGAATTGAGAAAAGCCGAAATCTTGTCTATCAGACAGCGCAAAGATGGTCCAAGCTTTTAGTATGTCACAAATAGACATGGAATGTGCCTACACAAGAGTGCTAATCGGACTTTAGCGTCCATTACGTCGATTTCAATAAGCGTCTCGACGGTAAGTCTAGTGTCAGTGTTTATATTGCAAGATCCTGCTGACACAATTGTAGAGTGGATTGATTCCGCAAGGATTGATTTATCTCACGAGGTTGAGTGGCCGCAGCCTGAAAAACCAGAGAAGAAGAAAGCAGGCCCTGGTAACAAAGCACCAAGCAAGAATGCTCAGAAGCGTGCAAGAGCCGGAAGCCGCGAGGTTTCGGCAACCCCTGATCTTTTGACGGGCAAAAATACCAATGTTGGCAAGGCACAGCGTCCATCTAAGGCAGGCGGGAAAGAAAACCGTGACGAGACGCCTGCCAATTTGTCAGTCTTAGACTCGGAAGCCATTTCTGCAGACGTGACCCCTAAGCCCGAATTGGAAGATGTTGATATGATCGGCGTCAGTTTCACAGATACCAAGGAGGAGCATGAACAAGGTAAAATGTCGCGCGAAGAGGAAATCGAACGATTGCGTACAAGCGGGAGTATGACACAAAATCCCACGGAAATTCACCGTGTGCGTAACTTGAATCGTCTACAAATGGGCAAGTTTGACATTGAGCCGTGGTACTTCTCTCCTTATCCTGCCTCCTTCTCAGATGTCGACATGATCTACATTGATGAATTTTGCTTGAGTTATTTCGACAACAAACGCGCTTTTGAGCGCCACCGTGCGAAATGTACCCTAGTGCACCCCCCTGGGAACGAGATCTATCGTGATGATCATATATCATTCTTTGAAGTGGACGGTCGACGCCAGCGTACCTGGTGCCGCAACCTTTGTCTTCTTAGCAAGCTCTTCCTTGACCATAAAACACTCTACTACGACGTCGACCCTTTCCTATTCTACTGCATGGCCACTCGAGATGAGACCGGTTGCCATCTGGTGGGCTATTTTTCCAAAGAAAAAGATTCCGCAGAAGGTTATAACCTCGCTTGTATCTTGACTTTACCACAATACCAGCGTCTAGGCTACGGGCGACTGCTTATTTCCTTCAGTTATGAGCTCAGCAAGCGAGAAGGAAAGCTTGGCTCTCCAGAAAAGCCCCTCAGTGACCTGGGTCTGCTAAGTTACCGGCAATACTGGCGAGAAACACTCGTAGAGTTACTCATAGAGCCGGGCCGAGAGTCCATGAGTGAGAACGAGCTTGCTGTGTTAACATCCATGACCGAGAAGGATGTGCATGAGACGCTAGTCGTGTTCAATATGCTTAGGTACCACGTATGTTACCAGACCCTATCCCTCACCCCGTATGCTCAAAGCAGATAACTAACTGTTTGTACAGAAAGGAAACTGGGTTATCGTCCTCACGGACCAAGTCGTCGAACAACACAATAAGCGTCTTGAAAAAGAGAAAATTAAAGGGTCGCGCAAAATTGACCCTGCACGTTTGCAATGGAAGCCTCCAGTTTTCACAGCTTCAAGTCGAACATGGAATTGGTGAGGCGAAAAAACGCCCGACCGAAAATTATTTACACATGGCAAAGCGATTTTTCTCTCGCCTTAAACTTGTACATAAAATCATCTCTTTCGGTGTCGGACATTTGTATGATATCATTAGCGTGGGGCTTGGGCACTGGTGTTTTACTGGTTCTGTTTTAGTGGCTTGTTTGGATTAGAGGTTGTTTAACAACGTCGGGGACTAGATGATATTTTAATACACTCAAGCGATCAACCATGTGCAAAGTTCGCTCTAATACCTCTTCCTATAACTAGCAACGCAGAGAGAGCTGATGAACAAAAAGTGGATTATCTTACACCGTCTACAATGCCAAAAATTACCTGAAGATATGAACGAGAAATGTAATGCAGACCTGGCCTGGCACGATGCTAGATACACGCATATCGAGTCTCAAGACAGACCTTCGTACTTCAGTCCCTAGCCTGTCCTTGGCTTCTAACCATGAGAGCAAGGAATACACAGGCTTTGCTTCAAGTGCCAAAGTCTCCTGGATGAGATGTATAGGTATAGCAGAGCCCGAGACAGGATCTTGAGACAAATGAAAGTGCAAAACGGGACTCAGAACATCAAACAGCACAGAGCCTGGTCATGGGACACGGAGTAAAGAAAAATGGCTGAGAGGAAGTGAAATGAGAAGAAAGTAAGACAGACTCGAACATCTGTATTTCTCTCATACGGACAATAGAATAAGTCACAGGACTGGTGTTTTGTATGCGGAAGGGAAGGATTTCCCATCCAACTCAATATGGCGATGTTGCTCGGGGCCAGTGTTGATAAGGTAGACGGAGGAAATAATGTACGGTTAGAAAAGATAAGGACATTAAGAAGGGCACTAGAAATTCAAGACAAAACCAGACCCGTCAATTCCCCTACAGGCGTAGCTCATCAATACCGAAAAAAGACGCTCAACGAATATCGGAAACCCGACAAAGGCCAATTCAAGGCTGAAACGTAACTCAAAAAACGGGACATTATTCCGCATGCATACTTTCAGGCTGCGCTTAACGAGACCCGCTGTAAGTACGTGGGCCCCAGGAAGCATTGCGCGACTGGTGTCGCGGAGAGCTTGTTTCATTGTTCTGCTGGGAGGATGATTTCTTGGGGTTCGAAGCTCCAGATCCTTCGCGGGGTTTCGTATTCTTTCGAGGCTTATAGGTCGAAGTTCCACGCGGCCGGGGGTTCTGGCTTCCTGCCTTCCTCGGGAGGGCTACCGTTTTCGCAATGATTGTACCTGGGAAACGGATTGAAACCCGCAAATTTCCCGAGCCATCTTTATCTTGGAAACCAAATGAATAAGGTTCAACGCTATGAACCTGCATTAGCTTCAGATGCTTAGCTCGTAGTCTCGACTGCGAAGGTGGCGGCGCCGCCTGCCAAGCTGCGGGAGGAGCCCTAGTAGGTACTCGAACAACAGGTAGAGATCCTACTTCACGGTCCTCAAATATCTCTTCGGTTTCTTCAACCTGCTTAGCAGTTATCTCGCCGTCTCCTGTTGGTTGCTCGCCATGTTGAGGGAGCGAGACTGAAACTGCGGCGATATGCAATACGTCCAGGGGTTCTTTGGATGCAGATGTCACGGCCAATGCAGTCTTCCTCTCAGGCACTGTCTTCTTGCCGAATAAGGTATTAATCTTCTCCTGCCACGAGGTAGCAGTAGAGACAGGAGTGCGGGGCGGCGCAGCAGCCATAGATGCGAAGGTGGGAGGAGGTTGTGGTGGAGCGATGACTTTCGGTGGAAGTTTGACAATGGGCCTTGGCGCAGGAAGGTGTACCAAAGGTTTGCTGGTATTCCCTGTGAAAACTGGATGGGTTGACATTTCTTCTGGTGGCGGTGGTGAGGGGCTGCGAATAAAATCGCCTTCCGCAAAAGGTGGCTTCTTGTACTGCTCGGATGCCTGTGGGAAGAATCGTGAACTTCGAACTGGGACGCTGCCAAGAGGGCGTGAATTGGTCTCTGTAAAGGGAAGAGGACCAACAGAGTGATCCAGCCCCGGAAGAGGATTCGGTGGATTCGGTGGGTTGGTATCTGCTGTTCTAGATATACCAACAACCTGTCTTTGCCCGGCCTGGTCTCCAGTCCGTACCTGCCGCCAAGTCTCGTTGAAAGTTACCTGTAGAGAAGATGGTCCCTCGCGCGCAGCGTTCATCTCATTACGAAGTTTTTCATTTTCTTCTGCTTCGCGCTTGGCAGCAACTGTATGGAAATTGTTCCAGGCAACGGTCCCAACGACACGGTTGTCATGTTGCCATTGATTTTGCGAACTTGGAGGTCCAATAGGTCCAGGACGGGCGATGGGATTCAAAGACTCGTATGGTGCATGCCTAACTTTAGGGGACGATATGGGGGATATTGGTGTACTTTCTTGAGGCGAGCGCGAAGGTGTAGAGAACGATTGTGATCCTGAAGCGACAGGGGGCTGATCCAAAACAAGGGGGTTGCGCAGCGGAACATCTCTTCCTGGCGGAAACCCGGGAAGACCCTGTTCAAATATACCATTACCCAAGGTCTTATCACTGCTAAGAGGTTTCCAAGGGTTCGCCATGGAAGGAGAGGTCCCGACTAATTTGGCATTGGGAGTCCACGGTGGGTAGGAACTAGAAGCGTTGAGGCCACCCCTCCACTGGGTTGACTGCTCATCGAGTTTGTTCTCTGTCAATTTTTCAGGCGCTTGTGTTTGAGAGTGACCAGGCTGTTGGAGTCCATTCGTCGTGCTAGTGTCAGATTTGGGTTCCCGGGGAGGTGAAGAGGCGCGCCGGGGATTAGCCGTCGACGAAGACTTTTCCCCTGCTCTTTCCCTCTCCACTAACTTTCTCACGGTGTCGGGATGATGAACCTTCATCATTCCATATTGCTTTGGCTCTCCCGTTGGTTCCGGAACCGGGGGTTTGGGAGGGGACAACGATGTATGAACAACACCGGGGGAGGGAATAGTGTCAGGCTTACTGCCTTCCAGAGTCTCCTTGCGCTGCGACTTCGGTTTATCGGGAGGTGGACCAAGGGCTTCGAGCTTTTGCCGGATCCTTTCCCGTTTGGCAGCCTCCTCCTTTTCTTCTTGCTCTATTCTTCGCTGCCGAGCCTCCATTCTCTTTTCTTTCATAATGCGTTCTTGCATGGCAACTGGATCTTCCTGGGGCGCCTGTGGAGTCGCAGTTTGGCTCACAGCATAAGGAACATATGGCTGACTCGTGCCATCAGATGCACCAGAAGCTCTTTCATGTACGCCAGCCACACCACGCGGAGGCCAGGAATGATCGGGGCCATGTCGAGCAGGAGAAGGATCCCGCAAAGGTGTCTCCTGTTGAGGCACCAAGCCTGGCAACGGGGTTTCAGCCATACCGTTCGCCTGTGATCCTCTTCTAGTTTCAAATGACCGTAGATTTGCATCGGTTCGACCAATTGACATCCGACGTGCAAAGCTGCCACTTCCTCCGCTGACATTAGATGAAGTTCGCCGACGTGTCCAGTGAATGCCATCCTGTCCGCTTGATCTATGTGTCTGAAACGCGGGTGAAGGCTCCGCAGGTCCTGCCTGTTCGCCCTGTGCGGGCCTCTGCAACACGGAGGGGGTGCGGAAGCTCTGTTCAGTGCGCCAAGATCCTTTCCTAGTTTCAGATACTGGCTCATACCGACCCGACCGGGAGTTGTATAGCTCACGGGTACCAGACTGCGAGTCTTTCCATGACCGGTTGAAGTCGTCTGCGGCGATCTCCTTCGGATGAGTAACACCGCTATAACGGTCGATTGTGTGTGGCTCTCTGGGCGAAGTATGTACCTGAGGTTGAACTTGCACAGGAGGTATAACAGGAGATATTTTCTCGACTGGTGGTAGAGGAGCCCATGGTGACTTAGCTGGGGGTGGCGCCGGACTTGTAGATAGTGAAGGCGATTTGTCGTTAGTACCTTTAGAAGAGATGCTTGCGCTTTTTGCCTGTCTTTCCGCATTTGCCCCCAGCCTGAGAACAGTGGGATTCGGTCCAACCGAAGTTGTAGGCTTTGGGACAAACTTGGTAGCCTCTTTGGTAGTGGGGACTTGCTCGGGGCGAGGAGGCGGGAAGTCGTCCTTGGGTTCCATCGACGGCATGTTCTCTTGCTTTGGTGCCGCAGTGTGTTCCACTTGAGAAAGATTGGTCTTTGTTCCATCAGTCCATTCAATTGTTTCCGGCGCCCAGTCATCTTCATCATCATCAATATCGGCCCACTTTGCCTCTGTTCCGCCGCCATCTTCTTGGATACGCGACGTCATGTGGATTCCATACTGCTGCTTAAGCTCTTCGTCCGTCAAGTGTTTCGGTGGAGTCTGCTGGACCGCTGTGCACGATTCATAATTAGCGGAGACTTCCAGAGTCTATCGATACTGCCTTACGTCGGTTCTTATTCCAAACTTGATTTGGGTCAGGCCCACTTCCAGCTGGCCTCGCTGCACTCGTCCCAGTTTTCGATAGTGAGTCGCGTAGACTGCTAGTGGTTTTCGCGACCAAGCGTGGTCGTGAGCTCTGCAATGGTACACCCAGCGGGGTAGTTGAAGACAACGGAGCTAGGATCGGTTAGACTTCTAATTGGCGTGGCACCTTGGCAAGGATAAATACCTTTCTCAGCAATCTTAGCTGTCGGGGGCGTTCCTGGAGCTTTGGGTACTGAAAACTTTGCGAAGGAGACTGGCTTGAATGATGTCGGCCTCTTTGTTGAACTTGCACGTGAGTTAAGTCTGCTCTCCGTTCGACTGGCGTCGGATTCTGAGCCGCCCTGAGAGGCTGTATCCTCTCCAGCATCGGAACCGGATGCTACTCCATTTAATTCAAGTGCCCTTGTCGCCACTGGCCCAGGACCTTGCCTCGAATTATCCTATGTCTGATTCAGTATGGGGGCCCTTGTAGTACCCGGGTAACCAAGACTCACGGTCGTCGATTGTTCCGTATCCCTCCCCGGGGCATTCTTTTCGTTAAACGTCTCGGATGAACTCGTACCATGCGTGCCTTGCTCAGCGTTCGTGATTGTTTCGAGCTGTGTATTTGTTGCGGTATGTTTGATCTCCCCCACGTCCCCTCCGGCAGGTTTCTTGTCGTTGGTGCTCGCAGGAACGTCGGAAGGCGAAGGCTCGCCGCCCGACAGGGTTTGATTTACCACATCGTGGCTGCTCTGCTCTGCCATAACAATTCTCGAGTCTGTGAGGCCAACAGGTTGCGACATCTGTTAGAGAAGCGTTCTGAAACTGTAAACACTGAAACAAGTGGCGACTATAAGGTTGAACTCATGGCTAAACTTGAAGGAATGGTCTGAGAAGTACCTATTGTCAGGTATCGAGAATCGCCACGGTCGAACTATTAGCTCAACTGCCTGAGCCGTGAAAAGCTCCAAGCGACCAGGTGGACAGCGGAGAATGTCCCAGGTAGAGAACAAGAGATAACGCTCGGTGAAACAAGGTCGGGCGGGCGGGAAATTCTAGTAGAAGAGTGAGAGCCAGCTGCCCAGTTAGTCCCCAAAGGGAAGTTCAACAGTAAAGTGGTGCTTCTCAGGTTGATGTGATCGGGTGATGGCAGCAGTCATGGACGGATGGGCGGTTCAGGTTGAGACTAAGGGTGGCTGTTTTCGGTTAGCGTGGGACGAGTGAAGTACTCCGTAAAGCAAACCTTTGTGGCTGGACCTGTTGCGGCCGATGCTGACATTCACTTCACTAGTATCCTGTTATTTTCTTATTACCAGTGGTGATATTGGGAACTATTGAAATAGTGGATACGTGCCTTTTTATTTACGTTTTTCTGTCTTTCTTCTTCAGGCTATACTTTTCTTCCTTTTCAATCCTAGTTTATTGTATTCACATGATCCAGACTTTTTTGTCACTAATACCAGTCTATAGTTAACATGACTAAAGATCATTCCTTGAAGTAGCGCAAGATATGATTCATTGTTACTTTAGTCATCCTATGACACAATCATAAATGATCTGGAGACAACGGTGAGTCACCACTAACTAGGCATCTGTGAAACGTAATAAATAAGCTTGAATGTGTTCTACATTGCCTTCATTCTAGGTCAGCGGTATATACACAAATCTTCCGCGCCCCTCAAATCATAGCGAGAAAATTTAGTGGGGGTGGTTCTTGTGGTGGCCTAGACTTGTGTTAGATTCTCGACGCCCAAAGTGTGGTATAGAAAGGAAAACATACGGAGGTGGAAGTAGTACTCCATGCTGTAGCCGAGGAGGAGAATGCCACCGATGGCGTGGGCAAGGGCTATTTGATCATCAGCGAATGCCATGTATACCTTTAGGAGCGAGAGTGACTACTTACGAGCAGCAGAGGGGTTCTTGCCGAAGTAACGAGCCTGGTAGCGGCCAATGAGACCAGTAGGCTTAACTTCAGGAGCCGAGCCACGGGGAAGGCGGGCATAGAAGTTCACAACGCGGTCCATACGGGCAGCATCCTTGGCAGCGCCAATCGCCTTTCCAAGTGTCAGTGAAATCCAGTAACGAGCGGGAGAAACTGTATGCTACGGTGTCCCGAGCCGCATTGAAAAAAAGAAATTGTTCCGAGCAGAGCGACTTCAATGGCTGCCGGGGAGCATGACGGTAGGGGAAAGGAGTCTCACGTTAGGAGAAGCGATCTAGAGACGAATCAGTATCGTTTGTTTAAAATATTCCCGTCGGTTCTCGTTCTCTTCGCGGGTTCTTACCTTGGGAGGGATCAGGGTCGAAAGACCTCGGCGAGTGATGTAGCTCATCTTGTGTGACTAAGTCGGGTTAGGAAAGTCTGAAACGCACACCAGTAAAGATTAAGATAGACAAGATCTATCTTATAGGCATAATCCTTACCTTGATACGAGCAAGTGGACTGAGATGATGGGCTAATGGCAGAGAGAAGGGAAGTGCCAACAGAAGCGGGTTGTCGGATGAGCGGTTCCTAACGCAGGGAGCCTCATGCTGCGCTAACCATATTTGGATTCGTCTTAACGACCGGCAACTTGCCGCATACCTCACCTGGCAATTGCACTTCCTCAGCGTCTTGTTCTGCTCAGCCAACGAGGGACACAATTGCCACAATGTCGCTTTTCAGGGCAGGAAATCTCTCCTGCTTCCGAGCTGGCCGGCTTGCCGCGCCTATCAATGCTCGTTTTCTGTCCACTAACACCGGTCGAGGCGACCCTTCCGTGAAAACCAGCCCTGCTGATGCCCCGGCGGTACCTCCCAAGGACAGCTCATTGATCCGCCAGGAGGGCCCTGCTGAGGCAATGGCTCGTCACCAACCGGATTACGAGGCCACAATTGATCACGGCACCTCGTAAGGGACTCCACGTAACGCCAGGAGCGATTTGGCTGACAGAGACGTAGGAAATTCTCTCCTGTGCCTAAACGTGTCATGGATGGAAGCGAGCCCGGCGACACCGTTCCAGCTGCTGTTCTTTCCGGTGCTCCTACCGACCTCCAGGCTCGTACTGTCAGGTATAGATGCAACCTTCGAAAATCCATCTCAAACGCTAATTATGCCATTTAGAATCTACCGCCCCTCGAAGCCCGCCACGCAATCTGGTACCTGGCACCAGCACCACTGGAGGATGGATTGGGATGTGTTGCAGAAGGGCCACCGCTGGGAAAACCCTCTGATGGGCTGGCAATCGTCTGCTGATAATATGCAAGGCACTAATCTGAACTTCAAGTCCAAGGAGGATGCCATTATGTTCGCGCAGAAGCAAGGCTATGAGTATTTTGTTCAGGAGCCAAATGAGCGGAGATTCGTTCCTAAGGCTTATGCGAACAACTTCGTTCATGAACCGAAGAAGATCAAGCACATCAGGACCAAATAATCGATTACATCAAGTGTATCTTGTACATAAGCCCAGATTTTTACTCTTTCGGAATTGCTCTTTCAGGTGTTGCATGACTCTTTTAACATGCTTTCAAGGCCCATAGACTGAAGGCTAGGCTCCCGACCACCCAGGCTGGACAGTTCACTGGGCAGGGGAGCATGTACTTACAGTTCTTCATGGGTTGATTTCGGTCTGTGCTCCCAATGACCGAGAAAGCTATCTAGCCAGCTCTGCCCAATATTTCCATGGCTGCTAGAGTGTTGTACCAACTCGACTGAAGAGTCGATTCATTTTGCCTATAAAAATAATACAGGAGCTCGTTTACACCAAGATCAAGCGAATATTCACAGGAGCACCTCTTGATTTTGCATATTTTTTTTTGATCCTCTGTGAAGATTCACGAATGACGTAGTGTGTGTGTGTGCGTGCATATAACTGCCTCTTACGATAGACCCTTCTATATTAATTTACCCAATGCAGATGACTTAAGATAATGATTGAAATACTCATGTACATACAAATTGTACTTGTAAGCTTTATAACAGACGACATGCAGCTAAACCAAAAAATGTGAACTCCGAGCGTTCTGGTTAATTATAGACAAATCCAAGTCCATTATAACCAGAACTATTTTCTCTTTGCACATTGCAAGTCTCCATAATAACTGGGTCGAAGGAAGAGTAGATAAATTTTATATAGTCTCTCCTTAGAAACTATACATACGTATAAACGGTAAATTCCCAAGTCCCACATATATAACCTACTAACTCTGCGAAAGAATATTAGCCTAAAATTTCGGTACAGAATGAGAAACTCTCGCAAATTCCGGTACTAAGCCTTAAGTCAGAAAAGATGTCGAAGGACTAATTTTTTCCTTCCTTTTTTTTTTCTAGGCCTAGTTGCGGCCGGACAACCCCGCCACCCCACCTAAAATTTATTATCTGGTGAAGATAAGATCGAAAATTTACATATACTCACTCTGTGGTTTCATACTTTCCTCTGCTCTTGGGCTATCGCGAAAACATACAGACTAGATATAAAATGACTTCTACTGCAGTTGACCACCCTGAGGGAGTGGATGAAACCATCCTGACTCTTCGCAAAGTTCTCGTCAATGAGTCCGAGCCGCTTGCCCGCCGATTCCGCGCCCTGTTCTCCCTGAAGTACATTGCTTGCTTGCAACCGCCCACCGAGAAGACATTGCCTGCAATCCAGGCCATCGCAGCGGGGTTTGCGTCGTCCTCGGCTTTGCTGAAGCATGAGCTCGCATACTGCTTGGGCCAGACTCGTAATCCAGATGCAGTCTCGTATTTGCTGGAAGTGGTGAAGAACACGGAACAAGATGCAATGTGTCGCCATGAAGCCGCAGAGGGCCTCGGTGCTCTGGGGTTTGACACTAGTCTGGATGTCCTGAAAGCTTTGCGGGATGATGAGAAAGAAGAGGATGTGATTAGAGAGACATGTGACATCGCCGTCGACAGAATTCTCTGGGAGAATTCGGAAGAAAGAAAGAGCGAGAAACTGAAGCCTAGGTACTACAACCGTTTCAAATGCTCCTGTATCCGCTAACAGCTTCGTTTTTTGGGAAATTCTTCTAATTGTATTTGTTTCTTCAATGCAGTGATTTTACCTCGATTGACCCAGCCCCACCACTCCCAATGGCGTCCAGCCAGCCTTCTATTTCCGACTTGGAAAAAACATTGCTCGACACAAAGCTCCCTTTGTTCCAAAGATACCGCGCTATGTTTGCCCTGCGTGACCTTGCCTCGCCCCCTGATCTTCCTACAGCTGTCGAAGCTGTCGAAGCGTTAGCTAAAGGACTCAAGGACCCATCTGCTCTCTTCCGCCATGAAGTTGCCTTTGTGTTCGGTCAGCTCTGCCACCCGGCGTCTGTTCCTAGTCTCACAGAAACCCTCAGCGACCAGAAAGAAATGGGTATGGTACGACACGAGGCTGCTGAGGCTCTTGGTAGCTTGGGTGATGTTGAGGGTGTGGAGGACACCCTAAAGAAGTTCTTGAACGACCCAGAGCAGGTGGTGAGAGACAGCATTATTGTGGCTCTAGATATGGCGGAGTATGAGAAGAACGGGGAGATGGAGTATGCGTTGGTACCGGATTCAGCAGCCCCGGCCGCTGTATCTGCTGCTTGATGAATTTCCGCAAACTAAAAAAAGATTACAGTGGCTTAATTGATACTCGCTTCATAGATGTACAGCCGCGAACCCAAAATAGAAGTCCTTTCCGAAGTTTAGTTGTTTTGTGTCTCCCTGTAAATCAAATATTAGCATCGTGTCCGAATGACCGTCGACGGCCAATGGAAGTCAAGTGGCATACTTGTAACCGCAAACGCAAGTGTAAAAGACCGTGCTTCCTTCGTCTGCACTGCGCAATTGCACAGTTGTGAAATACATCTCTTTCCTACCACATCTCGCACAAGTATGTTGTGTAAGAGCTTCTGTCCTTTTATCTGCAGCTGTCAAGTTCTGGACTGCAGATCTTTTTGCCCTCAGTGTCGAAGGGAATGCACTCGCTTTGGATTCAGAGACAATAGTTTTAGGGACAATGTCTGAAAGGAGAATGAGGTTAATATGAGCCAGGCAGAGACTTCCCCGAGTGAAATCAACTTACCTCGATTACGAGCTCCGCAGATACTGCAGACAATGAGTTTTGTAGGGTCACCAGACGACTCATCTAATAAATTTCCACAGTCATTACAGAAGATCAAGGACCCAATCGCAGACATCTTGACAAGTGGTGGCTTGAATAAACTTGTAGTTGAAAGAGGTATCTGGAGCGATTAGTTAGTACTACTTTTTTTTTCTTTGGCTGGTTGGCTGGCGGAAAGAATTCCCAGAGCACGGGCCACTTCCCGATGGACTGTACATGATTACTAGTGCCGGGCGGTCAGAAACGGCAGCGGCAAGAGACCCGTGCCTGGCATAATAATAATTATTGCATTGTTTTTATCGTGAAGTCTCTCAAGACGACCGGATTTAGGACGGAGATGGGATTTGAGTCTTTTGCTTGAAAGCCATGTCTCCAGTAGGAGCATGCCATTTCCTTCTTTTCAAATCGCCTGGGTCCTCAACTCCAATCCTCCCTTAACGAAATCCCCAGTTCATCATGGACCGCAACTGGCAGCCGGCCGTTCAGGTCGTCATCAATGGCCCTCAAGCGCAGGCTCACACGTCCGGTGGGCTACCACAGCGCGGGGACAAGCCATTATCTGTGGAAGAGGCTTTGCAATACTCACCCATGTCTAGTTCTCCAATATTTGGCCTAGGTGATTTGATATGAAACCTAACGGGACATGGTAACCGCTAGCTGATACATGATTCTTTATAGATTGCATACTACGCCCTGATGTTGGTCGACCCCCTAATACTACCTCTATCAACCATATCCTTCAATCCGGCCGTACTACTTTGACCGAACTCAACGACGAAGTTTCGTCTGGGCGCGATGAGTCCAGCCGGTTAGAGACATCTCGAGAATATCTGCAACAGTTGCTGGATGGTGACCAGTTAACCGAGTTGTAAGCGTCTCCAATACCTCACAATTACGACAAAAAAAACTCATGATTTCCTCAGCAAGTTCAAGATTCCTATAGCCTCTCGTAATGACCAACTTCCTCTTCCCACTCTCTTCAGCGAACATACTTCCAGTCGCAGCAATCTGGGCTCATTCGCGAGAATGATGTTGGAATCAACAGATATAGCATTTCGCTGTAAGGTTGGCCTATTCTAACATGTTAGACGCTAGACTGACATGTCACAGATCCCACGCCATCACAAGCTGAGGATGAGAAGCGCTCTCAAAAGGCTAGTTCCTGGAATTCGAAAGCACATGCGGCAAATAAATCGACACCCGCGCCCTACAATCAACATGATAATATGTCGAGCAACTTGTCTGTAGTGATTCCAATCAAATCGGCACCTCCTGACGCTGATAATTGTGTTGTTTCAAAGCGGAGGAAGCTCAATACTGATGGGGACGATAACCTTGCAGCAATCCGGCTCAAGGACCAGAAAGAGGAGGCAGACGCAGCTCTAATGAAGCTTCAGGACTTACTTCATGAAATATTCGAAGCCGAGGATCAACTAGAACCAGGCATGACGTCTGCTACAACGGTTGAGCACCCAAACACGGTATTTTTGGCTCCCCGGGCGCTTGATATCAGCGGATCGCTTCTGTCTTCGGATATCCACAGTCGTCTCCAGAAGGCTATCCGGAAGGTAGTTGGATTCAACAGACTCCAGGATATCCCATCGGACTATTTGAACAGAATTCAGAAGCTTTGTGAGAAGCCCATCATTGCTGCACAATCACCTGATTTAAGATTGGAGGATCCCTCCAACGACTCCGAAGTGCAAGAATGGCTGAAGAAGATAGACGATATGCACAATGCTCTCCTTGCAGTAGGTACCCTATTACTGACTATGTCGGGCTCTCAGACAGAACGGGACCTTTGTCCTGAGGATCTGATCGAGGCCATTCCGAACGTTCTCAATCAAACATTCGACCACTGTGTCATCCCTGCTGTAGAAGCTCGACCCGGTGGGAAAGAGGCTCGTCATTTTGAGTTCTTCTCTGCCCATAAACGTGTTATCGGGGGATTGATTCAGCAAAGCAAAAAGGCTCTTGCGCTTTTCGCTGATTTCCTTTCACGGATAGACGTTTCTGAAGGAACTGTCACAGCGGCTGAATTTTTTGCTTGCAAACTGATATTTGTAGAAAATTCTCACACAGAGAAGGATTCTGCAGTGGGATTCCAGAAATATGAGTCTGTTCGACGCGGGGCCATGGATGTCCTTGCCAAAGTATTCTCTAAATACCCCGCTCAGCGCCCATTCATCTTGGATGAGATTTTAGTTTCACTGGAAAAGCTGCCGTCAACACGGCAAAGTGCAAGACAGTTCAAGCTCGCTGATGGCAAAAATATCCAGCTTCTAACGGCATTGGTCATGCAACTTGTTCAGACAACTGCGTTAGATGTACCGACATCACGTTCATCAAGAACGAAATCTAAAATTCCACCTTCAGGTGACGGCGGCGAAGATGAACAGCTGAATGATCCACGCGGAAGGGAAGATGATGATGATGGGACCGAATTGACCATGGAGCAGTTAGCAACGAAGGTCAATCGCCTCTACGATAATGCCGTCCGCAGTGCTCAGTATATAGTGAAGTTTATTGTTCAACGAGCAATGACATCCACCAAAACAGGTGATCAGCCGTATCGGAACATCCTTGATTTGTTTACCGAGGACTTGATTGGCGTCCTAGGGTCGACAGACTGGCCTGCCGCAGAGTTACTTCTCCGCATAATGGCCTCTCATATGGTTGGCATTGCCGATCTGGATAAGAGCCCTGCTACTGCAAAGAGCATGGCACTTGAGCTCCTCGGCTGGATGGGATCCGCGATATCAGATCTTATCGTGACTGCCCAGCATTTACTTCCAACCATGGAAGAATCTGACAGTGAGCTGACCGACTTTCTAAAACAGTTATTTGAAGATTACTCCGGACGCGCCCTCCATCCTCAGGATCTCGTTGTCGCAGAAGGCCCCTATCGGATGACTCTGGAGTATTTTCTTCAAGTTCGTCACCTAGACGATTGGCAGCTCACTAGTGCTCGGGGTTACTATTTGGCGCAGTGGGCAAAGTCTTTCTGTTCAGTCTATTATAATGCAGACGAGAGGGACGATGTTACTTATGATGATATGACTGAAAACCTTGTCGATCTTTTTGCAAAATTGTTTTCTGACCCGCTGTGGCTGGAAACTCACAAGTAAGTGATCGGGTGAAGTGCTCGTTGCCGATTCGACCCTAATAGGATTAATAGGCATTTTAACAATATATCCGCTGCACATGGAAGATTCTCATACATAGTGACCGTTCTCAACTCGAGCTTTTGCAAAGCTTTCGATACGATCTTGAAGGTTCTGCTCAATTCTATTGCCAGTGACCAAGCCAAAGTCCGCAGCCGCAGTTTGAAAAGCGTTATCTACATGCTTGAGAAGGATCCAAGCCTTCTCGATAGGGACACATCGGTGATGCATGTTATTCTTCGATGTGCCACCGATGCATCCCCTATGGTGCGTGACTCTGCACTCTCTCTGATTGCGAAATGCATTTCCCTAAAACCGAAACTTGAAGAGGATGGCTGTCGGAGTATATTGACCTGTGCTGCTGATCCAACCGCCGGTGTGAGAAAACGATGCATTGGTTTACTTAAGGACATCTATCTCAAGACCTCACGCACTGAGCTGAAGTTAGCGATTCTGGACAGCTTCCTTCAACGGACAGGAGACCTTGAAGAGAGTGTCTCCACTCTGGCTCGTCAGACTTTCGAGGAGATCTGGCTGGCCCCTTTCTACGAGTTTGTTGACTCAGCGCAAGATGGCCCTAAACTGAAGGTTGGCTTGGGGGAACGAGTGACACTATTTGTTAGCTTAGTGCAGCGCAGTGAGACAGCGCTCGAAACGCTCAGCGGTTGTCTCAGAAAAATTCTGTCCGACAGTTCTAAATCATCGTCTTCAAATTTCAAAGTGTGCAAGGCAATGGTCTCTACCATGTTCGAAAAGCTGGTGGAGGATAGCGATGCAGGCAAAGAATTCCAACAAGCTCTCCTACAGACGATAACTGTGTTCGCAAAGGCAAATGCGAAGCTATTCCGGCCTGACCAGTTGGAGACTCTTCACCCTTACATTGGGCATCTTGCCACTGCGGAAGACCTCTTCCTCTTCCGATCTGTGGTTGTGATTTATCGATGTGTTTTACCATACCTCTCCTCTGCTCACAACACTCTCTTGAAGGAAGTACAAAATGATCTGTTCAAGAGCGTTGCCAAACTTGCTCGCTCAGAACTGAATGAAGTGATGGCCTGTCTTTGGACTATCAACGGGGTTCTACAGAATACTGACAGACTCGTGAAGCTTACCATTTCTGTGCTCAAGCCAATACAACATTACAAGAACATTGACCTTTCCGACAATGCCAATATGGCTGTACTAGCTCGAGCTAAAAGTTATATCCGGATCGCGGGTTGTGTCGGACGACATTGTGATCTCGAAAAGTATGAGCCACACTTCAAAAACGCTTTCCCATCTTGGAACGGCGGATCAGTAGCTGGCTTGATGGTCGATTCGATCGTCCCATTTACCCTTCCGAAACAGCCACTCGAACTAAGAGTAATGGCTCTAGAGAGCCTAGGCTCTATCTGCCAGTCCTGGCCTGCTCAATTCAGCCGAGATGAATCGAGACGGATACTATCCATGGTTTTCAAGGAAAATAACCCGAGCCTCCAGAATATTGTCTTGCGGGCATTTGCAGACTTCTTCGCAATGCACGAAGGCAAAGCTGAAAAGTCTGTTTTGCCCTCTGCCGAAGCCTTGGACCAAGAAAGCACGACGAGGCTAGGCGGCTCGCTGAAGGCCAGCGATAATGATGGGGCAGCTGCATTAATTGCTCAGCATTTCCTTCAGAATATGCTTCGAGTTGCGCAATCACGACAGGATTCTTATGCTCTAACTGCTATTGAATTGATTGCTAGTATCAACCGTCAGGGGCTTGTCCACCCAAAAGAGTGTGCAGGCGTGCTAGTGTCACTGGAGACGTCCACTATTCCCTCTATCGCTAAAGTTGCATTCGAGACACATAAAATGCTCCATCAACAGTATGAATCTATGTTTGAAAGAGAATACATGCGAGCTGTTCAGGAGGCCTTCTATTACCAACGCGACGTTGTCGGAGATTCCACCGGTGCGCTGAACCGTCCGTATGTTGCCAAGTTGGCACCACTATTTGAGATCATCAAAATCAGTAACAGTCGGTATCAGAAGAAATTTCTTTCAAACCTCTGCGCAAAAGTTAATTTCGAGCTTAAGAAGCTTGATACCACTGGTAATCCACCAGAGCACCTTTTGCTAGCCCGTTTTGTGGCTCATAATCTCGCCTTCTTTGATTATGCACAACTTTCCGAGCTTGTACCGACTATAGGCTGCATGGAGCGAATTGTGGCTTCTACTGGGACGGTTGTAGCCCATGCCATTGAAACGGAACTCTTTTCCGCTAAGCTAGAACAGCTGCAGGGGGAGGGAGTAGCTATTCCCACCGCAGACCCTCAAACCCACTTGGTACCCTTGCAGCAGATCAACCCACAAGCTCTGCGGCAGTTGGCTACAGCAGCCGCGGCGCTTTCGATGCTCTGGGAAGCTCGCACGTACCTCCGCCGCGTTTACGGTGTGACTGCTCACGTTCGCAACAAGGAGGCTAAAGCTGCGTCTAAAGAGCTGAACAAGTCGGCCACAAAGGTCCACGGCGTGACTGGTGATAAATGCTGGGACGCCATCAATCGAAACATGACATCCTTGGAGAGCGAAGAGAACATGGTTAGCAAGTGTCGGGAGTTCGCCACATTGCTTGCCATTGACGATGAATTCAAAGTCGACGATGACATGGATGCGGAAGTTGACGACGGTGTTACTGATATGGACGACCCAGCAGCTCTTGGAACTTCCGGTGGGCCGCGTCCTATGAAACGAAAGAGCTCCATGTCAGGGCAAAATCCCACAAAGAGGCCCCGGGGAAGAAAGCCTGGATCAAGCAAGAAGAGAGCCAGCACAGAGTCTGATGTCGAATCTGATTGGAACTGAAGGAATTATATGCTGTTTTTGGCTGCCCGGCGTAGCCAACGCTCATTTCTTTGGTTGTTTATTGCATAGACCTCGCATATGGGATAGGGCTGGCGTTGGGGAATACACGGTTTGTTTTTCAAATTCCCGGTGACATGATTTTTTTTTCTAAAGGGCGCTAATGGACGCCTTTGTATTCCATATATTTCTTCTGATCTCTTCTACCATGTTATTTGGGTGGTTATCCATAGGGTGGCGGCGCACGTCATATAAGGTCAAAGGTTATCACTATGCGTTGTTACCCATATAATGTATTCCCTAAATTGCAGTCTAGGGCGGTCCTAGTTGCTGTCTACAAGACTTGCATGTATTATTTTTTTTTCTAGTATATTCTTCTCCCGAATGATACATGATTTATGTCCCTGACGAGGTAATTCGCAAATTGTCGCGTAATTTGAGGTCATCCATTGTGTTAGGCAAACCGACCATTAATTAACTAGCAGATTTGATCGAAAGACCAAGCCGGCAAAGGATCCGAGCGGGTCCAAGACTCGAATAAAAAGGCTTAGTCCGAAGCATGACGTAGCGTCGGTGAACGACAACACCAAACTATTCCATCTTCCGTCTTTCATTGTTTTCCCCTTGGGCCTCCTCCCCAGATTTCTCCCTCCCTCTCTGCTGTTGACCGGTTGCTAATTCACTCGCTATTTGCCTTGCATCTCAATCGCTTAACCTGACCACTTCACGATTTCTGTTCACCTGTGCTGAGCAATTTGTAGCCATCATCGGCCACCCTGCACGCCATGAGCGCAGTGTTGCTCCGGAGTCGACCGGACCAAACGGCGCTGAGGAGAATTGGGCTTTTGTCGAGTCGGCTATATTCCTCAAAACCCTTGGGATCAACTAGGCTTGCTACCTCCCGAGCTTTACCCCTTCGTCAAACCTCCGTACCGCAATGCCTAGCGTCGCGTGCGTTCTTCAACAGTCACTACTCGATCCGACACCAATCAACAGCGCCGGAGTCAACTGACGCTCCACAAAAATCCTCTTTCCGAAATGCGTTTGTCAAGACATTTGCCTATTGTGGGTTCTTCGTTGTCATGAGCGGTGCTGCAGTGGTTGCTTTCTTTATCTACGATGCGACCACGTACCGTGAACACTCAAGTGCTGAAGATATTCCGGTCTCGGAATTGGCTCTGAATCCCCGGCGCGGCGGCCCCAAGAACTTGCCTGTTGCCGATGTGCTGGTTGGGGATTATGATTCGGAGACTATGACGGAACAGAAGGACAAGCCGAGGCTGGTTATCCTAGGCACAGGTTGGGGCAGTATCGCTCTTCTCAAACAATTGAATCCCGGTGACTACCATGTAACGGTCGTTTCGCCCACCAACTATTTCCTCTTCACTCCTATGTTGCCCTCTGCAACGGTCGGCACTCTTGGATTAAGGTCGCTCGTTGAACCAGTCCGGCGGATCGTTCAGCGGGTCAATGGTCACTTTCTGAAAGGCGAGGCGGTAGACGTTGAATTCTCTGAGAAGTTGGTTGAGGTGTCCCAGGTCGATGCCAATGGGCAAAAGCAGAACTTCTATGTCCCGTACGACAAACTTGTCATTGGTGTTGGTATGTGTGCAGTTCCGCTAGCCTTTTTACCGAACAATCTGTTCACTAACATCTCGGTCATTCAGGCTGTACAACGAATCCTCATGGCGTTAAAGGGCTTGAGAACTGTCACTTCCTAAAGACTATTGATGACGCTCGCCGGATCAAGAATCAGGTTTTGGATAACATGGAATTGGCCTGTCTACCGACGACCAGTGACGAGGAACGCAAACGTCTACTTTCTTTCGTCGTTTGTGGCGGCGGCCCAACCGGTGTTGAATTCGCAGCTGAGCTGTTTGATTTGCTCAACGAAGACTTGCTCTACTCCTTCCCCAAGATCTTGAGAAACGAGATCTCTGTCCACATCATCCAAAGCCGTACTCACATCCTGAACACTTACGATGAAGCCCTTTCTAAGTATGCTGAGGTGAGTTGATACTGCCACCAGACGGCTAAATCTATCCTGATTAATCGTGTAGGCTCGTTTCGCTCGTGATCATGTTGATGTCTTGACGAATTCCCGGGTGAAAGAGGTTCGCGACGACAAGGTTGTATTCACCCAAATGGAGGATGGCAAGCCTGTACTGAAGGAAATTCCTATGGGTCTTTGCTTGTGGTCGACGGGTGTCGGTAAGTGAATCTAGCACATTCTTGTATGCTTCTTTAAGAGCTTATCGTTGCCCTAGCCCCAGCCGAAATTTGCAAGAAGCTGTCGGCCAAACTTGATGCACAGAACAACAAACACGCTTTGGAAACTGACTCACACCTACGCCTTATCGGGGCCCCGCTGGGTGATGTGTATGCTATTGGTGATTGCTCGACAGTTCAGAACAATGTGGCCGACCATATCGTATCCTTCCTGCGCACAATCGCCTGGGAGAAAGGCAAAGACCCAGAGAAGCTGCATCTCACGTTCCGTGAATGGAGAGACGTCGCCAACCGGGTCAAGAAGCGTTTCCCTCAAGCATCCAACCACCTTCGCCGGCTAGACAGGCTCTTCGAACAGTACGACAAGGATCATTCCGGCACTCTCGAGTTCGGCGAACTCTCCGAGCTCCTGCACCAGATCGACAATAAACTTACATCCCTGCCTGCCACTGCCCAGCGTGCCAACCAGCAAGGCGAGTATCTAGGTCGCAAACTTACCAAGATTGCCGCCGCGCTTCCCGGCATGAGAGCCAACGAGATAGATCACGGCGACCTCGACGAAGCCGTCTACAAGGCATTCAAGTACAAGCACCTCGGCAGTCTAGCCTATATCAGTAACGCTGCCGTCTTCGATTTCGGAGGATTGAACTTCAGCGGTGGTGTTCTGGCCATGTATTTGTGGCGTAGTGTGTACTTTGCCGAGAGTGTCAGCCTACGTACCCGCTGTATGCTTGCTATGGACTGGGCGAAGAGGGCCCTGTTTGGAAGAGGTTAGTTTCCATTCCCTTTCCCTGTGTTTGAAGTGTGATACAATCCGGTACTAATGCGCTTATTGTCCCAGACCTCATGAGTTTCTGATGATTTAGCAGTAAACCGCCCTAGCGGCGGTGCCTGTTATAAACTATATGGTGGCATTTTATCTTCTACTCTTTGTTTCCTAAAATTGGTTGGGATATACCTGTTTTTCGTGATCTCTTTGCATTTCCAATAGATACCATTTGTGAAAAGTCACTAATAGTGGCTAGATCCTCTTGTATGCTTTGTTCTATACTTTGAGGGTATAATATTATTGTTGTATCTATCTCTTCGGGAGTAGCTAAAGGACTATTTTGCTATAGGCGGAGTTCTTCTTGCATTTTGGCTTAAGTCATTATCTGTATATCTCGCCAGTATGAAGCTCATTTATACATGGCGCTATTAAAATATACAGCCTCGGTATGTGTTCTCCATCCTGTCCCGCATGCCACTGTACGGCATATGTATATATATATATTCTATGACCCCGTACTAGCTCCCTAGAACTACACGTTTCCATGAGAGAATATGTGGGAGGGACAAAAAAAAAAAAAAAAAAAAAAAGAAAGGAAAGAAAAGAAACGAAAAAGAAACGAACGAGAACAAACAGGGCATTACACCGCACTCAACCTAGTCAGTCAAAGTTCAAATTTTTTTCGACGATCATATCGTCACCATGATTCAATGCCATCGAGTGCCATGAAAGTCTTACGTTTGACTTGAAAACCCACAATACTATAATGATCTACATTGCTATGTACTATGTAGTATTAAAAGGTACACGAAGCTAATCGACTTCTGGCTGACGTCGACAAGTGAGTTGTATCATCATTGCGGCACATCGTGGTTTGGTGGAGCGAGATCCGCCCTCAACGCCGATAAAACACAAATGGCTAGGTTGTTGGATGCAAATAGAACATCAGCAATTGAGATTGCAAAGTATGTAAGTTTGAGATCTAACGGTAGTGACTTTGTATTAAGATAAGTTTGCTACAAAGGTATCTAGGCAATCGTCTTGGCCAATGTGTATCTGCGCCAAACACCTCGCTATAGTTGGCAACGCCGGTGGTAACAGTCATTAAAATGGGTCGTGATATCGCACTACAGTATGATTAGCCGAGCTCGCTGGCCAAATCTATCAAGAGATCATTGGATCAACGTCTCCGTTATTGGCCATCAAGGTATCGTTAGACGCGCCGTTATGACCCTTGGTGTTATTATCGCTGAGGCCCAAATCTAGTTTCTCTGGGATGTCCTTCTTAGCTTCACGGGCCTTTTGTTCCGCCCAGGCACGCAACTTGACCAGATTGCGCAATCGTGCTTCTTTACGAGCGCCCTGATTCTGCAGGATGGCTTCGTTCACGCTAGTGGCTATATCTTTACGCAAGTCAGGATGTAGAAGAGGGGCTAGAGCAGGTGTAAGGTTCTCAGTGGGGAAGATGAGGAGCGCCAGCGTCCTCTCAAGATCCTCCAAGAACTGAGGGTTTGTGGGAGCCCGGGGTGCGAGTTGCGATGTCGCAAACTCGAGGGCAGGAGTGATATCTCCGTCGGGTTTAGATGTGCACGAGCGAATCAGCTCCACAAGTTGCAAACGTAGCAGTGCAAAATGCAGGGGTGGATTTTCATCCAAGATCTATGCCAGCGGGGTCAGCACATATTCCAGAAATGCAAGTGATGACAAGCGACAATGACAATAATAATTTGCTGATCATACTGAGGACTGAAGATGTTTGTTTTTCGTCAAACCCCAAGAGAGGTTTTACGAGTGGTGCATGAAAACTTGGTCTAATCCTAGCAAAGGGCCACGAGGGGTGGAGAGAAGTGGAGGGAGAAAATTCTTACCTGTGGATTGAGCTCGTTGATCTTTTCGATCGCAGCTTGGATATCCCCCGAGTGAATGGCAGTGCGAATTTCTACTCTTTCTTGAATAGCCTCTACATCTGCCCTGGGTTGGATGTTGGCCTCTGAAGCGAACTTCTTCGCAGCGGCTGGATATCCATTTGTGATGAGGTAGTCCATAACAAGATAGTTAATGTCACTGCAGACAACATGTTAGTCACCGTCTGTGATGGAGTTGGTAGACCAAAGGCATGTAGCGAGGGCGGCCATGTCAGAAAGACAAGTTAAATAAGTTCTCCTCAAGTGATTTCAGAGAGATTCCCAACTTGATTCAAGGTGCATCATTTGTACGGGCGGGGCCGGAAATGGCGGGAAAAAAGGGGGAAACTCACGTCTTAGATGGCTTTACCTCATCAACCTTCCGCTCAAACTGGTGCCATGTTGGCGTTGTTGTCGAGGAAGTGGGAGACATCTGCTTCCGTTAAAACCAAGCAACCACGCACGCACAACACGTCGGGAGGCATACGTAATTAGCAGAAGCCATGGTTTCAGATGTACTGGTTATGGCAACACTCAATTGCCGTTATATTGCTGGATTGGCCGCCTGTGAAGATGGGGAGCCTCGCAGACGGGAGCCATGAGCATGTTGGGAAGAAAGAGAAGTGAGAAAGAAGAGGAGGAAAAAAGAGGAGAGCGGCGGGTTTTAGGTCACGTTGATTGCTAGCTAAGACTAGTGTTAGCCGCAAGCGAAGGTCACGGACCAGCCTAAGCTTAATGGGGTTAAGACCCAACAGACTAGAACGTTTAGCCTTTTAGGGTATTGGTGCGAGTGACCGACAGCTAATTATTCTTCTTATCAGTCCCCAAGCGCCAAACGACGCTGGGTGCTTGCTTGGTACTCCCAGTATTTTATGTGTATGATCTGAAAGTATTACACCACTCCGTGTCGGCAAACTAAATCTTCGGTGAGGTCCTAATCATGGAGTCAATCTCACCCGTATTCTCGTCGGGCACGGAGCAGCGGTACTCTCCACCATGGGAGGATTTGAGTATCATCGGTATCGCTGGTAGCTCAGGTTCCGGCAAGACTTCTGTGGCAATGGAGATTGTGAAGTCACTCAACCTGCCGTGGGTTGTGATTCTCGTAATGGTATCAATACATTTCTTCTGTTTAACATTAGAGTTTAGTACAGTATCAAGTGAGCTTTGTGCCTCTAACGCTACTTGTATAGGATTCATTCTACAAGAGCTTGACGCCGGAGCAACACGCCAAAGCGCATAATAATGAATTCGACTTCGACTGCCCAGATGCCTACGATTTCGACGCCCTTGTGCAGACCTTGAAGGATCTAAAGCAAGGGTACAGTGGCCCAAATTGTCATAAACTTTCAAATTAAGCTAGGGGAATGCAGCTCAAGGCTAACGAACATGCCATAAAAGAAAGAAGGCAGATATCCCCGTTTACTCATTTGCCGACCATCAGCGTCAACCACAAACAACTACGCTTTACTCCCCGCATGTGATCATTTTGGAGGGTATCCTTGCTTTACATGACCCGAGGGTGCTGGACCTTTTGGATGTCAAGGTATGCCTTTGTCCTTCGTCGACGGCGGCTCAGAATTCTCACTCTTCTTTTATTAGATATTTGTTGAGGCGGATATGGATATCTGCTTGGGCCGCAGAGGTGAGTGATTTTTCCGACATTCTAAGAAAGTACTTCTCTAACGCAAGAGGAGCTAGTCATTCGAGACGTTAAAGAGCGAGGAAGAGATATTGAAGGCATCATCAAGCAGTGGTTTACTTTTGTTAAACCGTCGTATACGAAATTTGTTGAACCACAACGGTCTATATCGGGTGAGTTGGTCATATCCACCCCTCGAGAAACTCTTTCTGACCTTAATCTCAAGACCTTATTATTCCCCGTGGCATTCAGAACATCACCGCCATAGGTAGGTGACCTCCATGGGTTTCTCTCCGTTGATACTAATTCTTCAGACATGGTTGTGAAACACATCCAGCGAAAACTCGATGAGAAGTCTGAGAAGCATAGAGCGGAGCTAGACCAACTGCGCAAAATTGCATCGGAATTGCAGCTTTCGCCTAACGTCATGGTAATGCCATCGACATCACAGTTTGTTGGCATGAACACAATTCTTCAAGACCCAAAAACGGAGCAAGTCGACTTCGTCTTCTACTTTGATCGACTCGCTTCCTTGCTCATAGAGAAGTGAGTCAACTGCGCATGTAACACAAAATCACACCCCAGTCACCTTTAATTATTTCTTTCCCTTGATTCTCCCAATTAGGCATGGCAGAATCGATACGGATGACTGACGTTATCACCGAAACAGGGCTTTGGACTGTACCTCGTATGTTCCAGCTGGGGTAGAAACACCGCAGAAGACTACCTATCAAGGATTGAACCCGGAAGGTATAATATCTGCTGTTGCGATTCTACGAGGAGGCTCTTGCCTTGAGACCGCGCTGAAGCGCACTATTCCTGACTGCATTACTGGTCGCGTGCTCATTCAGACCAATGTGCAGAATGAAGTACCGGAGTTACACTATCTGAAATTACCTGAAAATATCCAGGAGCATACTACAGTTATGCTACTTGACCCCCAGATGTCTACTGGAGGAGCTGCTTTGATGGCTGTTCGAGTGTTGGTTGACCACGGCGTGGAGGAGCACAAGATTGTCTTTGTGACATGTGCCGCAGGGAAGATCGGGTTAAAGCGTCTCTCGACAGTATACCCGAAGGTTAGAGTCATCGTAGGACGGATTGAAGAGGAGCAAGAGCCTAGATGGATGGAGAGGAGATACTTTGGCTGCTGAAATAAACTGAATGTTGTAGATACTGTTGAGCAGCACATGTTTGGTTGTGCCCATAATCGAACCGTGCGAGCTGGGAAGCATCCCTCTAGAGAATCATGACACACACACACACACACACACACACACTATATATATAACGTCAAATGAAAGAATATCACTATATTTATGTCCTTCTGCCTCCATAGCTCAGGTTTGGGAAACGTGATCGTATTGAGTTAAGATCTGCTACACGAAAGCTAGCACGGAGTAGCAGCACATAGTAGTCTGCGAATGCACGGACCACATCCAAGACCGCCGAAGAATCTTTGGCTCCGCCGCAAAAGAAAATTATCCTTATCACTTTTATCAACCACAAAAAAGTCAAGGCTACAATCAAACAGCCTTTGATTGTGGTACAATACAATCAATAAACGTCTTTAACCTCCTGATAACCATTTCATCTGTTTCCTTTTTTCTTATAACATACCATCACAATGCCAGACCAAAAGAAAAGCAAAAAGAGCGGCGGCGCCAAAAAGCAAGCCGACTCTGTCATCAGTATGCGCCTCTCATCTCTTCCCTGCTGAAACGCCCATAACTAACAATTTCACCTGGGTATACTAGCCGACCCTCGTTTCGCCAATATTCAGACAGATCCTCGTTATCGTCTACCCAGTAAACGGCAGACACATGTGAAACTCGACAAGCGTTTCGCGCATATGCTGCACGACAAAGACTTCTCTCGGAATGCTGCAGTCGACCGATACGGGCGGAAGCTTGCCCGCGATGATACGAAGAAGCAGCTGGAGAGATTCTATCGACTTGAGGGGGACGAGGAAGACGAGGAAGACGAGGAATACATGAGCGTGGCTGACGACGATGAGGTTCTTAAAGAACTAAAGAAGGCCGATAAGGCTAGTGGCACTTACGATCCTGCACGTGATGGAGGCTTTTCGTCTTCATCCTCGGAAGAGGAGAGCTCTGACGAAGATGAGGACGAGGATGATGAATTTGGTACGGGCGAGGAGCCTGAGTTTCCGGATAAACAGCAGAGTGGCGTCCCCACAGGTGATGTGACGGAGCGGATTGCGGTAGTGAATCTGGACTGGGATAATATACGGGCAGAGGATTTGATGGCTGTGTTCTCTAGCTTTGTTCCTACTGGTGGACGGGTACTGAAGGTTTCCGTCTATCCCAGTGAGTTTGGAAAAGAGCGCATGGAGAGAGAGGAGACGGAGGGTCCTCCAAGAGAGATTTTTGCTGCGAAAGACGATGATGAGTTCGAAGGGTTCGAAGATGACGGCTCAGATGTCGACTCAGATGAGGAAGAGGAGGAGATTAAAAAGTCAATGCTGAAGGAAGATAAGGGCGAGGAGTTCAACTCCACGGAACTACGAAAGTATCAATTGGAACGACTACGCTACTTTTATGCTATTTTGACTTTCTCGAGCAATGATGTGGCGAAGCATGTCTACGATTTGGTCGATGGCGCCGAGTATCTGTCGAGCGCAAACTTCTTTGATCTTCGTTTCGTCCCCGACGACACCGACTTTTCCGATGATAAGCCTCGTGACGAATGCAAACGGATTCCAGATGGTTATCAGCCGAATGAATTCGTGACCGATGCGCTACAGCACAGCAAAGTTAAGCTGACCTGGGACATGGAGGATAAGTCACGAAAGGAAGCTCAAGCACGGGCGTTCAGAGGCAGCCGGAAAGAAATTGATGAGAATGATTTGAAGGCTTACCTCGCCAGTGATAGCTCCTCTGACGACGAGGATGAGGACGGCGGAGTGGAAGTTGTAGATACTACAAAGGAAGACGGCGGAAGTTCTAAGAAAATCTCAAAGAAAGAAGACGAGAGACAGCGTATGCGTGCTCTCTTAGGGCTGGGTACGGAGCCAGCACCCTCCTCTAAGCCTGACGGCCCTGTTGGCGAAATGGAAGTCACTTTCACCTCGGGTCTGGCCGGCGGCTCCAACAAAGACAGCATTTTTGAAAATGAACCCGAGAAAGACGAGACTACGATCGAGAAATACATCCGCAAGGAGCGTGAGAGGAAGAAGCGGAGAAAGGAGAAGTTGAAGGCGGTTAAGAAGGGTGACACTGAGGCCGATGAACAGGATGATGCACCTGAACCGGAAGAGAAGTCTCAGGAGGAAGATCTGGGCTTTAACGACCCATTCTTTGACGACCCTTCTGGCAAAGAATCTACTGCAGCTCGCCGCAAAGAAGAAAAACGGAAGAAGCGGGAGGAGCGTGCTGCGGAGGAAGCTGCAGCCGCCGCTAAGCGAGCCGAGCTGGAGTTGTTAATGATGGACGATGAAAACAAAAATATCAAGCACTTCGACATGAATGAGATCGAAAAGGCCGAAAAACAAGCCCGTAAAAAGGGCAAGGGCAAAGGAAAAGGCAGGCAGGCGGCACAAGTGGTGGACGACTTCCAGATGGATGTCAGCGACCCGCGTTTTGCCCGTTTATTCGAGAGCCACGAATTTGCCATTGATCCTACCAATCCTCGCTTCAAGGCGACATCTGGTATGAAGCAATTGCTGGAAGAAGGACGTAAGCGGCGTAGAAACCGGGATGATCGTGCGGACGAGGAAGAGGTCAGCCGCAATGATCAGAAGAAGACGAAGAAGCAGAAGAAGAACGAATCCACAGAAGGTGGATCAGAGGATCTGAAAAAGTTGGTGGACAAAGTGAAGCGGAAGACGCAGAAGAGTTGATTGGTTGTATGGTTCAGGCGAAGATCACCAACTTCTAGGGCAACGGCCAAACTGGATATGGATAGAATAACGAAGCAGATAAGCATAAATTAATTTCTTATTTTTATTTTTAATTTT